GGTGCATTATAGTTTATCCGACTTACAAATATTCACCCAAACTTGTGTATCAACTAAACATTATTAATAATTTTCATAATTTAATTATTATTCATTACCCAAGAACATGAAGAAAGTATGAACTGCTGGTTCATAAGTATAAATTATCGGGTTTTCTACACATTGATATCGTAAATTATCAGTCGCGAGCAACAATGTGAACCTTTTTGGCGAGTGAGCGCAGCGAACGAGCTGAAAAGCTTCACATTGTGTCGAGCGACTGATATTTTACGATATCTATACGAAGAAAACCCGATTATCTGTTTATCGTTTTATTACTGGCTTTTTCCCACTCCCTCAGATAACGCCTGCTCTCGTCTCAAAGCCGTGATATGAAAATTACGGAGCGACTGAGCAGGGTGATATAGGCATAGGGAAGGACGATAGGTATCATAACTGCATGTATGTTAGTTTTTTTTCTACGAAATCGTTATTAATAACGAATTTGTTACCTTTGACGATAATTTTGCTAAACTGCATGGTAACAGTATGGTCGTTGTCGGTGATCTGTTCTCTGATTAGACGAAATATTTTTTCAATGTTCGCTCTCACGGTTTGTTTAATATTTTGTTATGTATTGTTGGTGATAGTTTAAATATAGATATCTAATATTAAAATGTTCTTTTGTTAATGATACAATTAATGTTTCAGGAGTAATACTTTTTTCCTTTAATAGAAAATACTTACTTGTGGAAAACTTCTAATTTCAATACAAGCTTTACTAGAACGCCTCCATCCATGCTTTATTTTTTGCCAGGTTTTAGAAAACATAAAATTGAGAATGGAAATGGGGAAAATGTCAAAGAGACAACAACCCGACCAAAGAGCAGATAACAGCCGAAGGCCACCAATGGGTCTTCAACGCAGCGAAAAAATCCCGCACCCCTGAGGTGGTCCTCAGCTGGCCCCTAAATAAAATTGTGTACTAGTTCAGTGAAAATGGACGTCACACTAAACTCCAAAACATATAAATTAACTAAAATTAAAAAAATGTATATATTGAAACCACTAAAAACGATATGCACAGGCTCCATAAAAATAGACAACTTTACGGACGGAAAATCTCACATCACCATTGACATCGTCATTATCACTATTGAAATTGTCATTATCACCATTGACATTGTCATATCATCATATTCACCAATGGGTTACTGTTATTTCAGACTTACAGGTTTTCTGTTCACTGCAATCGCAAAAGTCAATAATCTGTGCATAGCATTGCAGTAAGTGCAGACAAACCAGATTCAGAAAATCTACGATGAAAGCTTTTTCAGCTTGAATGCTATAAAAATATCTGTCATAGACTCTTTTCAAGAGAAATTTCATTTTTCTAAATAGATCGTCCCCGTGACAATTTTTTGTGTTGTATGCAAGTGCAGTAAACATTTAACAGACTCAATTATAAGAATCGATATATGCATATGTATTGGTACAAAATATAAAAGTTGAATTGAGGAGTGTTCTGATATATAGCATATTTAAGCTTAATAAACTGTTAAATTGTTATCGATAATCACTCTTTGGCGTCCGTCCGTTGTACGCACAGGAAGGGTTTGTGTCTGTAATTGCTAAATGCAGCCCAGTACAGTTATCATTGACATTCTCCCATGTTCTGAATCTTTTTTTGTTAGTTTGTTTGTTCAAGTTTATATTTATTTAATATATCAATATCACAGTCACAAGAAAATACTCTACGAATCGTTTCATCGGTATATTATGAGGCAATTTTTAGAATTGGTAGACGTTTGACGTATACTTAACGCATTTAAATATTACCAGGACCAAAGAAAAAAAAAAACAATTTAGTTTTAAGAATATGTTCCATTTGAAGATATAACTTGTATATCTTAATCAGAGAAAACTCCATCACTTTCATATCTCAGTTTGGGACATGATTCGGTAGTGAGTAGCGATTTCCCGTCAAGTCTGATTTCAGTTTCAAGCAACCATTTTTTTGGAAATAAATACAAGGGCGGATTTTTCAGGTGGTTGTTCAAAGTGAGGCGGCTTATCCCCCACCTCAGAAACGTTATAAATGTTTTGCGAGATATGGCATGCATATTCGACGCATATCCTTTATATTTTCTTTTATCCAGTGAATACTGATTAACAGACCGTCCACTAATTAGACAAGATAAGCTTACAACTGCATATACTGCAAGCTTTCTAAGGTGGATTCTTTCGTCAAATATGTTGAGGGGATACAGATTTGAATACATAGATTGCAACAATAATGCGCTACTTTTATTAAACATTCATATATTTATTCGATTATTTCTATGTTTTTAACAAAGTTAGTTGGGACACTCTAAAGATGGTTTGATTTAATAAGTTCATTAATATATGCATCATGTCTAGTGGCTTATATTTTATAACTATTCGGTAAACAAATTACACAAAATGTAATTCATGCAAAGTGGTTTGACAACAAAGAAGGGCGTGGAATTTGGAATTTTGTATTGAAATGTGGGCATGTTGGATAGAAACGAGAATCTAATCTTGTAAAATGCCAACAACGAACCCCTTCAAGAGTTTTAAAGGGGGGTTTTAACCTGTTAACAGCGTGACATTTTCCATGAGGCATCGTTTTTACCCTTCAGATTCCGAACGGACGTGACTATGCCATCCTAACTAAAACGAACGATTCTTCTAGGGGAAAAGCCTACCCCTACACTAGATAATGAACTGTTTCTTAACAATGGGGTACCCTAAGGAGATATGTCTGGAACTCCACCTTCTGCCTTTCAACATTCGTAACTTTAAACAACTTTTTTATTCGAATTTGAGCCCTTTCCGTCCAGTTTCTTTTTACGATATACCCAGAAGTTTATGGATAGATCATTGAGTAGACCTCTTGCAACATGTTTTTCTATTATATATATTGAACAAACAGATGGACAGATAGAATAGTAAGACCGAATACAACGTACATTTTAATTGTAAGAATGTATGAAGAAAACATATGCAAAATGATAAGATCCGCGGGATGCATATCAGAAAGAAAAAAAACGAACATAATGATGATACGTCGTAGCGGAATTTTCCATTCTACATAACTATGTTGAGATTGTTATGTATGATTTGTTAGTTTCTTCAAGAATTTACTGTAATCATTGTTACCAGAATTATACACAAACGATAAAAGACAAAACTACTTAACAGCTGACAAACCACATAAACCGACAACATCGGACTCTGAGTTTTACTGTGCAAGTTGTTGTGTGTTTGTATATCCTACATTGGCTAGAGGTATAGGGTGATGGTATAGATCTCACAAAGCATATTTAACCCTTGTCCAAATTAAGGAGCCCTGGTTTTTTTTCAATTTTAATTCATTTATATTTTGGATTTTAGTGTGACGTCCATTTTCACTGAACAAGTACACCTTTTTTTAGGGGCCAGCTGAAGCCCGCCTCCGGTGCTGGATTTTCTCGCTGTGTTGAAGACCCATTGGTGGCCTTAAGCTGTTTTCTGCTCTTTTATAGGGTTGTTTTCTCTTTTACACATTCCCCATTTCCATTCTCAATGCTATCATATAATATATATACAAAAACGTTTTATCCCGCTGCAAATGTTTGCACCTGCCCTAAGTCAGGAATCTGATTACAGTAGTTGTCGTCTGTTTATGTAGTTCATACGTGTTCCTCGTTTCTCGTTTTTATATAGATTAGACCGTTGGTTTTTCCGTTTGAATGGTTTTACACTAGTAATTTTTTGGGGCCCTTTATAGCTTGCTGTTCGGTGTGAGCCAATGCTCCGTGTTGAAGGCCGTACCTTGATCTATAATGGTTTACTTTTATAAATTGTAACTTGGATGGAGAGTTGTCTCATTGGCACTCATACCACATCTTCCTATATCTAAGTACGTCTGAACCAGTGACAACTCTACGACAGATTTTATCCATCGGATCACCAGTGATGGGGATACAAGGCTGAAAACACATTCTGTATAGATAATTCTTCTAAATAACAGCAGCCAAACAATGTTAGATCTGTACATTTGCGGATATATAAGGATATTTGGCATGTTCCACACACATGTAGGTCTACAGTCGTGTCTTCTGCGGGTGAATTACTTAATAAAAATTTACATCTTTTTGGTCATAATCGTACTTTTTAGTTTACTACAGTACTCATGTTCGGAATTAGTTGATACCACACACAGTGCACACGTATACATCATTAACAAGTTCTTCAAGATATTTGCTTAAAACAAGGAAAAAGAAAAAAAGAAACAATGAAACATTTAAAAATAGTGTCGACAATTTGAAAATTTAAAACACCTATATCATGTATATTGAAACAAATTTCATTTTGTTCTACTTATTAAAAATTAAAAGAATGATGCCGATTGGATCATTTTTCAAATTTTAATTTTGCAAAGTAAAATGAAAAATGCTCTACCTTAGAGCATTTTTCATTTTCCAATTTATTATGTCAAAATGAAAAATGCTCCATGTTGAAGCATTTTTCATTTTTCAATATTAAAAGTCAAATTGAAAAGTGCTCCACGTTAGAGCATTTTTCATTTTTCAATATGTCAAATCAAATTGAAAAATGCTAAAGGTCAGCAATTTCAATATTTGCTTTTTAGAATGAGATTAAAATATGTTTTTTTCTAAAACAAGCAAATTCAAATGTTTTAATTTATTCAAACTGTTGATAAATTAAATCATTTTTAACACAAACTTGTCATATTTTTTTTTAATATCCTCGTGAAATCCAAAAATGATATCTCATGAAAATTACAAATTACAAATCTCATTAAGAAAATGACTTTTCAAAAGTGACTTCAAAACATTCTTGTTACATTTTTCAAACCAATTAACATTAAAATTTGTAGAGCATTTTGCAAAATCATTTTTTTTTTCAGTTTGAAATGACAAAAGTCTGGCGTAATTATACACGGTCTCTTAAACATCACTTTCTGCAATAATTTTTAAATGCATCAATTTTACCTGTATACAAGAGCCAAAATGTTTAACATGGTAGCTACGTCAGGATGCTCATTGCCGCTGGTCTTTTCTAAATCTTCTAATGCTTTTTTACATAAGGGTACAGCTACTTCGTATCGTCTTTGTGAGGCATACTGGATGACTAGGTTGTGAAGGGTACGTAGTCGGGCTGGGATTTCATAACCACCACTAGCTGCTTGGGCCATTGCACTAGGTTGGGATGGTGATAGGACTGAAATGTGATAATATAAAGTTACTTGACATTGGGTTAGTGTCTAGTTGTCAAGAATTCCCCACATCACATTTTACTCATAATTCTATGTTCCTCGGGAGGTACACTTTCATACAAAGTATTACAAACTAGTTATTCGTTTAAATACATTTATTTTCAAATAGAACTATACATTATTGTAATGTTTATTTTTAGTAACACCGGACAATTAAGTCAAGCAGATGGCCGCATTGAAATGTCTCAGGTGAGTTTCAGATCAGCCTGCACATGTTTGTGGTGATTGGTTGATTCCAAATGTCAGGTCAGCACATTGACATACAACGGCTTCTAATAACAACACTTAAATTAGTGAGTTTTGCTTATCTTTATGGTATATTGAGGTCAAGTTTTCTTTAGAGATAATATTTCTTGCTCACGTCCCAAAATGTCCAGATAATTGCCATATCATGCGAATGTATAGACAACATAAGTTATAAGTTGGTTACAAATTTATTTTGCAGGGGTTGTTAAGCCCGGTGTTGGTGTTTGTATAGCACATTGTTGAAAGCGTCGACTGGTCTGTGATAGAATGGTGTTTGTGTTGAAATTGTACAAGTATATCAAAGTAATAATACATACAAACCCATAGTTATTATTTAAATAAAATTATATGGGGTCAGCTAAGCTTCAGATATTGCTGATATGATGAGTTAAGTCCTTTCCAACGGATTTTAACAGTTTGTTTTTATGTTGTGCTGTTGTACCACTGTCCCCAGTTAGGTTGAGCGTAGAGTGCTTGCATACATTGTCAACCCTGCCACATTCTTGATGTTCCTTTCCCCAAGTCAGGAGTCTGTAACGCAGTGGTTGTCTTGTAATGTTGTCGACAATATTTAATTTCATTCATTGTTTTATCATTGGTTCTCTCTTTGAATTGTTTCATATATTGTAATGCTGGACCTTTTTATAGACTAACTGTACGTTAAAGGTTTTGGTCATCAATGAAGGTCATACCGTTACTTAATAGTTGTTTACACCCATGTCCATTGGTCTCTGTTGGATATTTGGGTTTTTTTTTGTATTTGTATCTATCTATCCTTAAAAACCTTTGGTATCAAGCATACCTGATGCAAATGTTTTTAAAACATTAGATTTTTATTGATCAGCAGTCTGAAGTCATATTTTTATTTTCTCCACTTATATTAGAACTGTTAAATCTATTGTTTTTTCCTTTCTTTTACTTTATTTGATATTTTGGCTCAATAAAATACCTTCTGAATGTTGACAAACTTCGTCACCATCATCAGGAAAACCTGAAGACTGTAGACTGGTGATGTTCTTTTTCTCCGGTTCCAGACTGCATTAACAAACAGATATTTTAAAACAAGAACACAATTGCCTCTTATCTTTCATTACACGATTGATAAATTCAACGTTCTTTTAAACTTTAAGCATCCAACAATTATTTGTCATATGTCTCAAACACTAGAAATAAGATACTTTAAGCAACAAAATCAATCAATGAAATTTAAAAACTAATCATTGACCATCTGATTTCAGCAAACAATGATTGTTGTGTGTATAGGAACATTGTTTTCATAGTTAAGACATTACAATAGATTTATTCATAATTTATGCTTTTATTTTATATTTGAATATGTGGACGCCATTTTGAATAATATGGTCATGATGCATTAAGATGTCAAACAATGCATGCCTACTTTTGCAGAAATAACAGCTGCTCCTGATCTTACCAAAGCATCATCGGTGCTATGGTCAAGCCAATTTGTTTAGATATTAGACCATTATTTTAGTATGTTCCTTATTGAATTTGACATATTAATTTCCCCCAAAAGTAGCAATATAATGGTGAATAAAAAACATGAACAAATATATTTAATTGTAGAAAATGCTCAAGTTACAGTTATGCTTTTATTGTTTCAAATCACCGATAATAGTAACTTAAATTAACATTTATTATTGACTAATATTGGATGAATATGACACTGATTTTACACGTAAATAAAACCATGCAATCATTTTCATAGATTTTTTTTTTGGCCTTTTCTTTGAAAAAAAATACATCTTATTGAGTCTTTATCATTCATCTTTGACAAATATTTTACAGACTAATTTTATGTAGTGTTGATCAAAAGTAATTATAGTTGAAAAAAATTTCCTTGAATTTGACAGTTGTAGGAAATTAATCCTACATGTCATTGCAGTAAAACATTTCTGAGTCATAAACATATATCTTGGGTGTTTCAAAGCACCATTCTTTTTTGTTTGGTGTTTCTATAAAATATTTTGGAAACTTGAGGTTGCATGGTTACTAAAGCTTGTAAACAGGAAAGAAAGGGTGGAAATTTGATTGGTTAACTTCCAGTGATGGTTATGATCTTATATGCAATGAAATGTTATGTAAAATTTTGTCTGTAGTACTGGACAGGATAAAACTTTACTCATGCAAAGTATTTCTTTATTTGAAACAAAGATAAATTCTGCACAATTTTTTGAAAAGTGCAAATTTAACAAAGACTAAAGGGGAAAAACAAAGGTGGTATTACACCTGAAGTCAATTATACAATACAAGAGGTATTCTTTTAAATAATTTGAACAAACACTTTATTACGCAACTCAATACACAACTTAATACACAATTCTTTACTTCCATTTTCCTAAGGAAAGGAAGGAACAAGGGTTTTGTAATGTAATTTTTCAAGTAGCTTTCATCGCATATTTAGAAACAATTGCATAAAACGTATACAGGGATGAGCCGGTTGAAAACGTCACTAGTGTCTACTCTGTGGTATGTGACAAGGTCGAGTAATTATATATTTTTAGATATATAGATATATTTTTTCATAATAAATAGGATAGGGTATTTATTTTTGTTATTGGAAAAATATAAAAACAGTGGGGAACTGGATGTCTCTGCTGCTCACACATAAGAATTGAAGTGCTTCCCACCTCCTTCCCCACCCAAAGGCTGCGACAAATATGTTACCATTATGCAACATGACTATGCTACTGATGATTTAGTTAATCATGATTATTTTTTGTTATTTAACGTAACTTACCTATTGATAAATTCTGAGTGCACCCCTTTTACACTGATTATATCTTCCATATTATCCTTCTTTTCTATCACTACATCTGTCTTCTTCATAGCCTGCGCATTTAACATACTTTTAGTTGCATTCAAATTGTCTAACACAATGTCTTCTGTTCGTTTCATTACAAGAAACACTAGTGTATCAGTGCCACACAGTTTCAGCTGGATTAGATAATTTCGATATTCCACTATCACTTCTCTTTTTTTATAAAGTTCTGTCAGAACTTTTTCTATTTCAATTTTCTGATACTGTAGCGATGTTTGAAATTTTGTTTGAAGTTTGATTTCTGGAGCATTCAATGTTTCATCAATTTCTTTTCTGATTTCACACAGTTTTGACTCTCCATCAGATTGATTTTCCAGTTGTTGCAAATTATTTCTGCTATTTTCTATCAATTTTTCTATATTTTCCAAAGCAATCCCAATATTCTTATGAAGGTCGTCCAGTTTATCTGAATTCTTAATATCACGTACAAATGTGTGGAAAAGAGTTATTCCCAAACATTTAGGATGGTTGGTGGCAGCACATCGGGAACAGCAAGGCGTTTCATGACTTGGACAATACAACTCAAACGGAATATCATGGATATGACATTTTGTCTGGAATGTGCAGATCAAATTTTGTAATGTTTCGGATGTCTTAACAGGGACAACAGAATGATTTCTAGATACTTTAATTGTCCTGTGGTTATCATAACATTCATCACAAAGACCCTCTTCACATGACATGCACCAATATTGTGGTGGTCTTACCTTCTCTCTTACTTGACAAGGGCCACATTTTTGGTCTGTTAATCCAGATATATCTTAAAAAAAATAATACAAGTTGAGTTCTTTATTAAATTAAAACAGGATTATAAGTTTACTTTGTACCTACATGTACATATCCTGTTTACATGAAAGACAATTTATTAATAAAAAATACTATTCAAAATTTGTAAAGGGTTCCAAGGAAATCTGTGTCTTGCCTGCCATAGCTGCTGTCAGTGTTAAAGTATATTGTTGACTGACAAAATAAATTTCATTTATTAGTTAAATAAAAAAAATAATAAGTAGAGGCTCTAAAGAGCATGTGTCGCTTACCATCATCTTCAACAATGGCTATTTTGGGTAAATATCATCATTAAAGGGAAATAACTCCATAAAGAGCTAACTGACAATTTTGAGCCATGTTGACATATTTGTAGATCTTGCCCTGCTGATCATTTTTGCTTTTAAAGTTACTATTATAGATTTCAAGCTAATTGGCAGAAACATGGTAAAAATCATCATTTGAGGACAATAACGCTTATACGGAGTTGGCTGATGATTTAGGTTATGCAAACTTATTAGTACATCCTGTCTCGTCTTTATCATTTTTGCTATTTAAAGTGTCTATCTATCTTTTTTTTTTAGTTTTTTAGATAATAGGCAAATACGCAAAGAATTGGAATAAAATTGTCATCAAAGAGCAACAACTCCAATATGGAGTCAACATACGATTTTGACAATGTTAACTTATTTGTAGATATTGACTTGCTGATCATCTTTGCTCATTAAAGTTTGTATTTATCTATTATAATTTTTAAGATATTAGGCAAAAACGCAAAAAAAATTGATAACAATCGTCATTTACGAGCAATAACTCCAATAAGGAGTGGTCAGACTATTTCGTCCATGCTGTCTTATTTGTAGATCTAGACGTTCTGATCGTATTTACTTATTTAGGTTTCTATTAATCTATTCTAGTTTGTTTTTGTTTATTTAGACAAAAACACGAAAAACGCGAAAAAAAAATCGTCATTAAAGAGTTAAGCTGCTAAGCTCCAATAAGGATTCATCGGACGACTTCAGTCTTGATGACTTATTTGTAGATAATATGTTGCTGATCAGCTTTGTTTAATCAAGTGTCTATTATGTATG